GGGGTTGCATTTGACAAAACAACAGAAGAGCGCACTATGTACATCAGCCAGCAAAACCTGAACGAATTCGATCCCATATTATAAGTAGAAATTGGAACACTTGTAATTGTAAATGAGAAAGCTCGTGTATTAACACTTACCCCCGATACTCTGCCCGAATCCTCAATCATCAATTTCGATACCTATAGAAAAGAAAAACCGTGTTTTATCGAAGAAAATTATTCGCATAACGTAATGGTAACAAGTTCGATTATTAACTACTGGAGCTACATGATCACTTTATCAGTGAGTACGATTATTAGATTATGATGCACCAAATATAAACGGCAAAAATAATCGTAAAATAAAACGTGATTTGAGTCTCTAGAAACTTACTTGAGCTTCGGTGGCTATGGTAGCACCAGCTTCTGTAGCTGCTTTAGAAATAGCTAAGGACACAGAACCCATCCCACCTTCAACATACCTGAAATTTTACTCCATTTAAATATTTAACTCATGGCACGAAAATGAGTCTAAAATCGCAATTTTCTTCTCTAAAAAAAGAAGACGGGAAACGGGTCCTGTGCTGGAATTAATTTACTGTGACCTTTTTACCATCATTAAAAAAGATACTCACGACCAAATTCCACGATCACCATCAGTTTGTCCCATTATATGATGCAGCAAAACATATCCACTTCCAGGTGTACTCACACTTCCCTATTGCAATCCCGGAAAAGATAAAAATAAAAAAATATTATTTTGTCAATGTCAATGTGTGAATGCGCTCTATAACATAAGGTACAGATCGAAGATAAATCGTACCGCTGATCCTATAACTGCATCGGTTCCAAGTGTTGCCTTCAGCACATCACTCTGTAAATTATAAAGTCCATAACAAAAATTAAGGTGCAGTTTCGCACGTAAGAGAAATAAAATTTAGTGTCGTTAAATTTCCGCATTATAACAATTCAAAGCAACTTCACTTCTACTTCCGAAAAATGTAAGCAACCAAACTATCAAATTGAGGATGTTTTAGTCTTTTCCAAGGATGAACTCACGAAATATAAACGAAAAAAGTTGAGGATCACTAAAGCATTTTATTTATAGTAACAAAATGTCTTGTGTTACCTCAAACCAATTATTTAAGACCTTCGATGCAGGAGCCAGTAAAAGGTCCATAAAATCCCTGAAAACCATCAACAGCAAATGAGTGAAGTAACGAAAGATACAAGGATATATCTGTCATTGAGTAAAGAAAAATCAAGAAGGATAAGTGAAACACTTACAGAAGCTCTTTTTGCCCCATAGCAACCGCTCGTTGCATCAAATGACCCCAAAAAACTGACTTGTGTAGATTATCCTTCATACGAGCTTTTAAAGATGCAATTCGTTGCATCTTTTCAGGCGGAGCTGAATCCATAAGTGGGTCCATGAATTTACAGAAGCTCTCTAGAAGATTCTCGTACCTATAAAAAAACATAACAAATTGAAACAAGGAAGATGTTGCGTAATTTGCAGTCTAGTAATAACATTTCAAAGACCTTAAAATTTATCGTTTGTAAAGTAACGAATTCCATCGAGTTATCGTACTGGAGAATTGCATCGTTGAACTTTGTCGCAAGTTTATTCAATCACAATCGGAACTATAATGCAACATTTTAATTTATGATCATAAAATACACATCTAGCATATGGTTATTAATCAACTGTCAATAATTAAACTTTGCCATTTGGGGTAAATAAATAAATATATTAGTTTATGAAAGAAGGGGTAAAAAGGGAAAATGTACTTAGGGTAAGCATCAGCATCTTTTTGGGAGAATTTGGAAATCTCAGAATAGTTAAGTTTATTATCAGGACCAAGGAGAAGGTAACGGCCGTCAATACACGGAGTGAACGACGACGGACTCCTCTTCAACATTTTCAATCCATGTTTCGCCAATTCCAATTCCCTGTTTTTAACGGAGGAAATTAAAAAAAAATCCGCCATTAACGGAGACAAATTAAGCGAGACAACAGAAATTAAATAAGAGTGACGGACTCGACGACGGCGGGGCGGAGGAGGCTCTGCAGGTAGCTACAGCGAGAAAACTTGAATCCAGGGATGAGCTCCTCCGTCACGGCGGCGCCGCCGAGGACGTGGCGGCGCTCGAGGACTGCGACGGAGAGACCTGAGCGGGCGAGGTATGCGGCGGCGGTGAGGCCGTTGTGGCCGCCGCCAATGACGAGCGCGTCCCATTTCTTCTCCGTCAAGAGGCGCGTGGACTTCGCCGCCGAAATGCATGTGCTCAGGCGCCGCCGCCACATTCTGGAAGTGTTTAGGAGAGAGAGAAAGAGGGTGACTGATGGTGAGCAGGAGACAGGGGATCTTCATTTATTGTTTATTGCTGTTTTCAAGCTTATATTAAAGTCCACTTTATTAATTCAAAAGTTTTTTCCTTGATTTGAATTATTTGAAATATCTTTCTTATTTGGAAATTATTAGAAAAAAGTTACTTTTATGGGTTTTATAAATATTTGTACTAAATGGACTATGGACTATATGCATGAAATTCAAAATAAATAGTGTTGTTAGTTTAATTTGAGCCGGGTTTAACTTGAAATCCAAAATAATATACAGAAAAAACTCCATAAATTAATGGGTAAATTACAATCAGCCCTGCGTACGATAAAATTACGAACCCTCTCTTGTTTGGGTAATTATAATAACCCATCAACTATAAATTTTCTTAGAATATTAATTTTTAGGGTTTCAAATTTAGTAGAATATTTTTTTATTATATGGAATATTATCACTTTTATACCCATTTTATCTCATTCGAGCTCTACATTTTGAAGCAAGGTGATTATAAGATGTGTTTTTTTGGCTTGATATATCAGATTTTGGTGCATCAGAAACTGTATTTTTACACAAAACTAATATAAACTAGATCATATTCCACAAAATCTAGATGATTACCATAAGGGTGGAGGTGTAAGAAAATTCATAGTTGAGGGGTAGATGTAATTATCCAAATAAGATGGAGTTTTTCGTAATTTAATCATACCTCAGGCGGGTGATTGTAATTTACCATAAATTAATATAATTTGCACCAATAAAATTTTATTAATTTAGTTAAATATTAAAAAATCAATAAATTAATAATTACTAATTTATACATGAATTAATAATTTATTAGTTTATAAAACTGTTATTATTATTTTCAATAATATATTTAAATTTTTGTATGGATTGACCGGTAGATGGTGAAATCGTCGAAAACCTACAAAATTTAATTAATAACTGATTTTATTATAACCGAATGGACGTTGATATCTATTGAACTACTCTGAAGAAACCGTAACTTCAGAGAGGTTGACCGACGAACAAATAATTAAGAGCATCATGAGAATCAATAAAGATGATGAATTTGAAGTGATAGTTCTACTTCAAAGCTCGTTTCTCGTACATGAGCTCTTAAAGCAATAATATTATGGACAAAATATACTTCACCCCAACAAATTTTCCATGTTCGCACTTTTTCCCATAATAATTAAAAAAAATGGATTGCGCTTCCCTTTAAAATATTATTTTGGTTGCACTTTGCCCGAGAAGACATTTGTTAGTGGATATTGTGCAACAAAAATAACATTTTAAAGTGACAGTGTACAAAAAAATAATATTTTTAAAGGGTAACGCCTAACAAAATTTTATTTATGCTCGTCGTGTCCTTTATATGGGACATGAGAGGTCGGGGCTATTCCATTGACCCGTACTTATTGGAATTTGACTCCACAAGAAATTGAACAAAAAGCCGCGGAATTGGCCTATTTCTTGCGCGTACCAATTGAAGTCTTTTGAGAAAAGGAATTGGGTTGAAAAACGAATGTTTTCCTATCAAAATATCAATAATATTAATTCCTTAAAGTACTTCTTTCGGTGATTCATCAAAAGGAGACACTTGTTTAGAATTTGATGAATTGGAAACAATATTTTTGATTATTTATTTCTTCATTTGAATTTTAAGTAAAGTTTTAGTCTATTTCTGTATTCTTTCTAGATTAAACAAAATTAAAAATCAAATAAATTCATAGGTTTGATACCTTATCTCGAACTCATGTTTGAAAGAAATATTCAATCACATCAAGTCGACAAATGAAGTGGGTTTTATTAAAAATTCACAGGTGAAAAATGGCAAAAATGAAAGCATTCACTCATATAAAGGGACAATGTGCAACAAAAATACTCAAATGCCGATTAATAATCCATTAAATTTTTACTCGGGGCAATGTGCAACAAGAATAACATTTTAAAGGAGGACATTCACTTTTTCAAATTTTGAGAGGTAAAGTGTGAAAATTAGAAATTTTTAGGGGATGGTGTGCAATTTGCCCTAATATTAATGATATTATACATTTATCGCGTCGAGATTATGTATAATTGCAGATAAAACCCCTTCAGATTCGGAATACTACGTATACCTCCCTTGAGATTTAATATTACCTAACATTTATCTATTGACCATTGATTCTTTGTTACATTTGACCAAATATCACATACATTATAATATCCTTCCTTATATAAGGTCTAATTAAATATTGGACACACACTTATATTACAGGGACAAAAAGAATAGAAAATAACTTTTTTTTATGTCATATAATAAAATGCCATTATTTTATTAGATTGCAGTCTCGTTCACCTCGCACTAATATCTCATCTCGTCAATACATTTTTCTTCTCTCAAAGAAATATACTAAAGTAAGAAGGAGATCTCTAATTATTGAAATTTATGCATGCATATTATAATTTAAACCTCAAATGAATCAATTTAAGTATATAATCATAAAATTCAACGGTATATGAGCTTTCCCAATTATGGGTACTTGTTCTTGAACTACAAAACAATGGGGGGTAAAAACGAATTATCCGAAAATTAGAGGACTAAAAAGTGAGAAGTTATTAGTATAAAAAATGAGTTAGATAGAGCCATCAAATTATTCGTAGCGGCCTTTATTCTCATTTCCCGCATCTGCGCTCTGCTTATCTTCGAAGCTAACCGCGAAGCCGCCGGAAGAGATGGATGCCGCCGGCAACTTCTCTCCGAAGAACAAGGATTTTGAGGTTTTCCCCACACATTCTCTCTCTACGTTTCTCTTTCTCTTTCTCTCTCTATCTATGTATATGTGTATAGTTTAAAACTGTTAATGAGTTAAATCTATAGTATATTGAATGCCGCCTCGGCGATTTTGCTTAACATTTTTGGTCGATTTTCTGCGTTTTGAAAGATAATTTTAGGTTCTTCGTCGAAGGCTCGTCGAGAAATTCTAGCTGAAATGGGGTACGAGTTCACCATCGTGGTGCGTTCCTCACCGTTCATTAATTTTTTTCAAATTGATTCTCGTTATATATAAAAAGAATACTGCTAATTTCTGGTATTGTATCCTCATTGTGTGATTTCATTTGAGTGTGCATTTGGATTGAATGATTCGAAACGAAAGCATTTGAAATTTAGTCCAATTGGGAATGGTTTTGAAATGACTCGAACTGGAAATCATTTTGAAATCCACTAAAGTTCCTTAAAAAAAACTAAGAAATTAGAGCTATGGATTTGAAATTCTTTGTCAAATAACTCGATTAAACTCAAAACGTGTCGATTTTGGCGTAAGAGAAAAAAACTGTATGGCTTCAATTCATGGATTTTAGATAAATGCCAACATACTCGTATATGCTTCTTGTTACACTTAAAATTTTATCAATTTAGGGGATGTTGGATTAGATTTTCTCCGATCCCGTCTCTTTAGTATATCCAAACATATGAGATAATGCTTAAAAATCATGCTTTAAAGTGTTTCATTTGCATGCTAAGTGCTTCATTTCGAGGAATATGAGATAATGCTTAAAAGATCATATCCGAGGTGATCTCTAATAGTTTATAGTAATTAAACTGCAAAAATCATATTTAGTTTTGAGTTGCACGTACAATTACATTTGTAAATTTGGAGGTTCGACTGTTAAGAGTGTTCGAGGGAGCATAAAATATAATTATACGTCTTAAATATATGTGGTGAAACTCCATTAACCCTTTCACTTATCCGTAATCACTTATCGGTACTCGTTGAGATTTTCCTTAAGTCATTATAAAACTAAATTTTGAATTATTTGACATATAGACTGCAGATATAGACGAGAAAAGTATCAGGAAGGAAAAGCCGGAAGACCTTGTGATGACCCTAGCTGAGGCAAAGGTGTATAAAACTTGCATACAATATAAAATTAACTTGCTCGAAGTTACTGAAAATTTTCGTTTCTGTGTTTGCGGCATGAAATTGAATTTTATCTTTAATTTTTTTTTACATTTTAGGCTGATGCTATTATGATGAAGCTCGGGAGCAATAACCAATTGGAGGAGATATCACGCCCTACACTGCTAATTACTGCAGACACAGTATGCTTATATATTCCCCTTCTATCGTTTTTTCTCGATTTATCCACGGGTTTGTCTGTTTGTTTTTCACTACATCACGAGGCATTGTGAAAGAGTTTGAAAATCGAATTTCTTGATTTTGATTATGTGGTCCGATGTGTGTCCAAATCTAGAAGCTAGGCCTTAATTTATATAATTTTTTTTTTGAATTAGGCTCGATCTTGGGCTTGAGGTATAGGGTATATTCCCCATGAAATTGTATGAAACCGACATTTATGTTGTATATCCTTTTTCCTTCTTGTTCAACATTGAGCGTACACTAAATAAGATACGGCGAGTAAATATACAGTAGGTTTCTTGATTCTAATGGCCTACTCTTGGTTGAAAATAGATTATTTGAAGTTAAGTCTTACGTCCATCTAATTGGTATCGAGGTGGTGGTGTATCAAGGGGTTATCAGAGAAAAGCCGACAAGTGAAAAAGAAGCACGACAGTTCATTAGAGGTTTGCTCTCTAATTTTTCTTTATTTTTTTAATATTTCTTATTTTTTGTAAACGACGGCTAGCTAAGCCTGCGAATATGAATTACGTTACAGACTATTCTGGCGGTTCTGCCAGCGTTGTGGGATCGATACTCGTAACCAATCTGGTGACAGGTAGTAGAAAAGGAGGATGGGAGAGTGCAGAGGTATTTCACTGATGCTATTCCATATGATCTTAAAGTGCATACATATTGTATAACTGGATACATAATTATATAATCGGAATCTATAAACGAGGTGTTCCTGTAATAACTTAGAGGTATTTGGCTAGATTAATTTGAAAGATCTTATATGCTTATAAGATGTTTTTGGAGCTTATAAGATATTAGATCTTATTTTAAAATTATGAACCATGTGAAAATATTCACCTCACATTTCTACATGAAACTATTTAATAAGTAACTGGAGAAGCTCTTAACTTGTATAAAGTTAAAGTGGAAAAGCTGATTTAAAATTCTAACTTGTACTGCAGGTTTATTTTCTAGACATACCAGATGAAGTGATCGATAGCCTGGTAATTTACTTTTAAATTAAAGCCGAGTACTTTTATCGTTTTACTGGAGTAGTAATTGTATCTAATTTTGCGCTTTAGATTGAGGAGGGAATAACTTTTAACGTTGCTGGAGGATTGATGCTCGAACATCCACTCATTTTGCCCTTGGTAGACACATTGGTTAGTCTCTCGTTAGTAAAGATTGTACAGAGATTTTCTTCATCGAGCATACTGTGGAAAACGAAAACGAACTCGTATGAAATATAAGTGTTTGATGCAATGTTTTTTTTTTTTTTGCAGGTAGGGACTGTTGATTGTGTAATGGGACTTTCAAAAACTCTGGCGGAGAAGCTCATAAACGAAGTCCTGTAGAAGAAGCCTATCTTTTCGTCGCAATCGAATTTGGTGAAAGGAAAATCAAGATTCTTTGTATATTATATTATTGGCCATCAGGCCCAACTTTTAGGAATCATCACTATTTGTTCTTTTTTGAATATTCTGTAATGTTGTTGAATAAATTGCTTGTGAGATGGAAAACTAATCCTTGTTTACTTCTAAGAAATAGTAATTTAATTAGGTATAGTAAGATCCCGTTTGGTTGACAAGATAAGATTAGCCAAGATAAGATTAAATAATCTAATGAGATCCACTTATTTTATTGGAGGTTGAAATGCTCAAAAAAATAACTTATTAGAAGGCAAGATAAGCCATAATTATATAATTTTGACGGGTCGACTCGGCAATTTATTGAGGATAACGAACATCAAATTAAGTCCAACTATTTAGTTGATCATTGCTTATCTTGGCAACCAAATGGGGCCTAATTGTAATATAGAAAGAAAAATAAGATATTGAGTAAGATGTATTCATCAGGGACTTGTTTTTTACGGTTTGAAAATTACTATTTACGATTTATAACAAAAAACATTTTATCTCTCCAAAACCCCAAAACTTCCCAAAAATATCCAAAAACCCCCCAAAATGCGTTAAAGTCCAACTTGGGCGCCCATTCATGCAGTGCCTGCCCAAGTTGGGCGTGCAAGCTGCATTTGGGTGCCCGAGTTGGGAGTCCAGTGCATTTTTTTTTAATTAAACGCCCAAGATAGGCGCCCAAGGCGTACGAACGCTAGTACACGCGATGGGCGCCCATCTTGGGCGTTCCAACATATTCTTGCGAAAAAATTGCAGGACTTTTTAACATGAAATTGGTTCCGTAATCGACCTACCCAATGCATATTACACATAAAAGAGTCGAAATTACCTCAAAAAATCGAAGCCCAACCTTTCTTCAAGCTTGATTTCGAATTTTCGATTTTCGATTGTTTTTTTGCTATTTGCAGTTTGGGAGGTTTTTGTATTTTTTTGGGAAGTTTTGGGGTTTTAGAGAAATAAAGTATTTTTTGTTATAAACGGTAAATAGCAATTTTCAAACTGTAAAAAACATCATATTCAATAACAAGATAAGAGAGTACAATTACCATTTGGGTTAGAATTGTCAAACAAGTAGTTGGTCAGGATACTACTATCTAGCATTGGAAATTTGACGAATCAAATCGGATATTTTTTTAAAAGTTTCGTTTTATTTCGGAAGTGACAAACTAACTCTAATTCCTTCCAAAAAAATGGGAAAATATGATGTGGGAATTTCGGAAATTGGAATGAAAGAACTTTTTCCAAAATTGGAAATTTTGGATCAAAATCAACGGAGTTCGATAATTCCAAGTCTTAGTCACTTCAAATGGAAATGACATAGTGATATTGATGTTATAAGTGTAATTTTCGGTCAATGTCGAAATTTACGGAATTATTTTCGCAAACTAAAATTGGATCGAAAATGTGATCATCATTTATATTCCAATTCTGAATCCAAAAAAATCAATTTGGAAACCGGAATTTCAGTTCACGTCCAGTTAAATTCCGATAATTCCCATAATTGGAAAATTTCGGATCGTAACCGGAGAAATCAAAATTCAGTTCCAATTTCCATTCCGAACAACCATGGGTGAAAATGTCATTACATATATTAAATATAGGTAAAAAATAATACTCATGAATTTATTTATTTATTTTCTTTTTAATAGAAGGAAGAATTCAGAATAAAGTACAACTATAATAATTTTCTAAAAATAAAATAAGAAAAAACCAACTAAAATCCCAACGAGGAACTGAGAGTTAGTAAACCCCCTCCTCCATTTAACCCAAAATTAGCCGATCGAATATAATCTTTTCAACCTCCACTCCGTAGAACTTTGATTTCGTCGAAACCGGGTATGATTTACTGTAATCGTTACTATTTCTTGTTTCTGAAGCTCCAAAACAAACACGAAAGAGGGATATATGTTTTTCCTTTCGTTTTTTCGGACATTTCTTGTTGATGGGAATTCAAATTCTAACTTGTAATGTATGTTAATTGTCTGATTCTTGTTTTCTGGTTGATAAATTATGAACATTCTCATAAGAGTTGTGGCTATCGCATTTTTTCAGTTTACTTCCAGTTATTTTGTCTTCAGAGAGAATGGCATGTACACAAAGTGTTTGAGAAAATGCGTATGTGAGATGTTATGCCAGTTCATTTAAATAGAGCCCTTATTAAGTTATGATTGGTATTTATTTATTTATTTACGAGGATGGGTATTGCGTAGATGCTATTGGATTCCTCTCAGATAAGCTTTGGGTAGTTCAGATTTTGAGAAAGGATCATTAGGCGTCGCGGGAGTTGAGAAATGCTAGATGAAATTCAAAATTCTGATTTTGTTGCAAAGCGAAAGAACTCGTTAATTTTCTACAGTTATCTCTTTTGACTGCTAAATTTCATGAAATTAAGTTATGCACTTGCCCTTAAAACTGAGATGTACAATTTTTTTTTTTGTAATTAAGTTTGGTACATTGGGGGGTTTCTTGTAACTCAATGATTATTTCAAGATTTATTTTTTAGAGTAACAAGAATATGCTCAAGGTTGTGGAATTTGGTGAGGTATTGCTTTGCTTGAATTGATTAAATCTCCTGATTGGTATGAATGCTAACTTTCGTTTACTTTTGTTGCAATTAACTAGAATTTTCGTAATCTAAATTAAACTATTTTTTAATGGCTTTAATCTATTAGAAATTACTCGTTTGATGTTCAAATTTTGTTGTGAAACTAAGTTACTATCATTGACTTTGTATATGTATGTTTTGTACATTTGACAAATGGTATTATAATTGATAACTCAATGAGACTTGTGCCCTTTTTTTTTACCCAAATTGTAACGGTACTTTTTTCACGAGGAGCTCACAACTGTGAGATCATTTCATGAAGTTGATTACACTCGATTAGTAGATACTTTTTAGTCTAATTTACTATTAATGAAATCCAAACTTTCTTCTTTCCCTAGATGCAGCATAGCCTCGGCAGAATGAAAAAGAAAAAAAAATGTTGTTGCTGGAAAATTCCTTACCACAGACTTCTTTACATCTGCTGTATACATACATGTTCACAGCATCTAGCCACCCGTCATTGTTCGTTTATGATATGAAACATATTATATAATGTATACTAACCAAAATTTCAGTATTATTCTGCTGGTAATTGGAGAAGATCAAGAATATTTTTAGGAAATATATTATTCTGCTGGCTTTTTATTCCGTTGAATCCCATATAACTGATTGTCTAACTAAAGAGGGTTGTAGTTATTTCGCTCGATTTTATCAAATTTATGTGATTGTAGTTTGTGAACACATATCCACAATGCCCATCACTTCTTCTGCATTTGCAGACGTTGCAGTTTTGCTAAAATGTTAATTTCTTGAATGTATTTTCAGGTGATATATATCCATATATAGATATTCTTGTAGGGAGATGGAAGCAAAATTCTTTCGATTTCTGAAGATAGTTGGAGTTGGTTTCAAAGCGAGAGCAGAAGCAGAAGGGCGTCTGTTGTACCTGAAACTCGGTTACAGCCACGAAGTAGAATTGACGGTACCGCCAGCTGTGCGTGTGTTTTGCTTCAAAAACAATGTCGTGTGCTGCACCGGAATCGACAAGGGAAGGGTGAATCAATTTGCCGCTGCTGTTAGGAGCTGTAAGCCGCCAGAAGTTTACAAAGGCAAAGGCATTATGTACACTGATGAAGTTATCAAGAAAAAGGAGGGAAAAAGATCTAAATAAACTCTACTGTTGCTTCAAGTGCTTTTTTGCTCACTTTCGACTTTTTTTCTTTATAATTTTTTTCGTTTCGAAAATTCCCTTCTCTTATTGAGAATTATAATCCCATGTTTATTTCTTTCTTGTATGTGGGAATGGCTATCCTGAGCTTGGATTTCTATTTTGCTGGGATTGTATTCTTCTTCCCCTTTTGACTTATTTCTTCATTATTCAAGAAATTCCCTTGTTAGTGCTAAATTATTTCTAGGGTTTTGGTCTCAATTATTATTTTTTTATTATTGTTGTTGCTTATTATTTTTGGTATGATTTATCTGCATGTAAAGTACACTCAAACTCTTACAACCAAGAATAGGCTTAATTGCACTTTGCACCATTGAAATGTACAATTTTAGCATTTTGCACCCTAGAAAAAACTAATAGTACTTTGCATTGGTGATCATTCACATTCCACCCGAGGTAGGTCTTTGATAAAAAAAAAAAAAAGGAATTAGTTGATATTTTTATATAATAAAATTTAATTTCCGAGGGGAAATAAATAATTTAACTTGAAACTTTACACCACAAGAATAATACTATTGATTATTGAATATACATCACATACGAAAATATTTCATAAATAATTTAACTTGAAACTTTACACCACAAGAATAATACTATTGATTATTGAATATAGGGTTAACTGCAAAAAATCCCTTAAACTTTGGACGTTTTTGCACTTTACCCCTGAACGGAAAAAAGTTGCACGAGCATACCTCAACTTACTAAATCGTAGCACCGAAGCCGAAATTGTCCATTTTTGGCAAAAAAATGGCCGGAAGCATAACACGTGAGAAGCACATGATTTAAGCTGGGTAAATTGGTCTTTTCCTGTTACACCTATTTTTCTTTCTTTTTTTCATTAATATAAACAAATCTTAAAAAGAAAAAGAAAAAAAGTGGATATAATATGCAAATCGTTTTATTTTTTAAATTATCATATGATTTATGTCTATGTATTTAAAAAAATTGTAATATTTCAGAAACTTTTTTAACATTATTTCATTTTATGCCAATAAATTTTAGTTCATTTTTAACAAAACAATATACAAATATATATATAATATATATCACATATATAAATACAAATAATTATAAAATTAGAAAAAAAAAAAGAAAAAAAAGTGATCTTCTTCTATCTACCCAACCACCCCCCTCTCCACCTCTGCCGCCACCTCCACTCCGACCTCGTTTGTGAAATGCAGCCTTGTGTTCCACCTCAAACGAATTTCGTTTTCCCAGCCCTTTGTTACCACTTTGCAATGAAATTCAAGCAGAAAAATCGCCGGAGTTGCGGCTGCCGACTACGGCCAAACAAAATTCACAAGCTACGATTCTGCCACCGGAAGCCGCCCCCTAATTTTCAACCCCCGAATAGAGCGGCGCCCTAACCGAAATCAACGCTGTCCCATGCTTCTCAAAGTGGTCATTAATCTCACCCTGTTAATATTTTCCATTGGGTCTCGCGGTCTGATTTTCCCTACAACAGCATCTGGCTGATTTTTGGTGGGTCTTCGTCAAGTTTTGCGCGGCGGCGACATCAAGTTTTTGGTGCTTGAAAGAAAAAAGCTTAAAGCTTAATTGGGAGATGGGGCTGTTGGTTGGAGAAGATGAAGAGGATGGCGGAGCAGAGGTGGTGGTGGTGGTGGTAGTGGTGTTTGAGAGATGGGGTTGTGGGTTTTCCTTTTTATTTTTTCATTTCTTTTTTTCCAAAATCATGTGAGGTGGCGAATTTGCCCCTCCATTTACACGTGGGAGTTGTACGTGTGTAATTCCGGGAACAATTAGGCTAAAAATGGACAATTTTGGTTTCGGTGCTACAATTTAGTAAGTTGAGGTATGCCCGTGCAACTTTTTTCCGTTCAAGGGATAAAGTGCAAGAACGTCCAAAGTTTAGGAGATTTTTCGCAGTTAACTCTTGAATATACAGTATACGAAAATATTTCTTTTCTCGATGCAAACTATTACCTTCAACCGTTTCTTTTACCATATTACATAAGAAATAAAGTTTAGTTCCAAAAGGAAAAAAAGATAATCATCAACTTTTATGACCATTCTCAATAAAAGATATATCTATCGAATACTGAGGTGCAATGTGAATGATTTATTAGCTTTAGAGGGTGCAAAATGTCATTTGTACTTTTACGGGTGCAAAATACTAAAATGTTATATTTCAAGGGTGAAAAGTGGAATTAAGCCCCCAACAATACTCTGAATCGTAATATTTTAGTTCCTTGGAACTGGCAATTTGATTTTAATTAAATTATCTTCATAGATCTTATTACACTCGGAAGCTCTTAACCATGGTTACAAATATCTAAAACGGAAAAAATAAAATAATATAGAATTCTTTATAAACTATTAATTAAATATTAATACTGAAATTGTAGCAAAATGGTGTGCAAAATATTTGCCCCCATTCCCACCGTTTCATCTCCAAAACCGTAGGCTGTGTTTGGACTTGTGTGCAGCAGATTCTCTCTGCAATAAGCTCAATTTAGCTTTTGCCGAGCTCAGAGAATTAGAGAGAGAAAGAAGAGAGAGAGAGAGAGAGAATTAGAGAGAGAGAGAGAGAGGAGATGACTCTAGGTCTGATCAACGCCAATCCCGTCGTCCACGCTAAGAAGGAAAGGATCGCTCGCTCCGACGACCCCCACGCCGACGTCGATCCCCTCGAAATCTATGATATCCTTTTTTTTTTTTTTTTTTTAATTCAATCACCCACAATTAATTCTCGGAAATTCTGAGGTGTTTTTTTCTTTGGCTGACAGATGATTACACTTTTTTGATTTCTGAAAATTCGTGTTCCTTAACTGTAAATTGGTAGCCACATTATGTAAGGGATATAAGAGATCCAGAGCATCCGTATTCTCTGGAGCAGCTGAGTGTGCTTTCTGAGGAATCCATTACTGTTGACGAGAAGCTCGGCCGCATCTTGTTAGTCTCTCTCTCTCTCTCTCTCTCTCTCTCTCTCTCTCTCTCATCATTAATAATCTATTAAGTATTAAGTCATTTGAAATTACAGCTGAATCGAATTTAATTATGATTAATTATTCAATGATTAGTGTAATTACTCTTTGTCAATTATGCTCTGGACTGTAATTAGGCAAAAGCAAAACAGGAAATTTTGGTGGATTTAGGAGGTAGTGATCTTCTGTTCGATAATTTTCAGGATAATGTTTACTCCGACGATACAACATTGCAGCATGGCGACTGTAATTGGTTTGTGCTTAAGAGAGAAATTGAAGGATCATTTCCCTCCACATTTTAAGGTTACTTCTCTTCTCTGCATCTGTAAACACATTAGGGTTTGTTTAATCGATTGCCTTATCGCTCCTTCATTTGTTTTTTTCTTTTCTTTTTCCGGATTTAGTCGATAAAATGTATTTTAATCGCTTTGTCGGTCGCCGTGTTTTGCTATACATACGTTTAACTTTATCGTTTTCTTAGTAATAGGGCATGAACGAACTTATAAGTTATAAATGTTGTCAGATTCCGAAGTTCATCTACGAATTGACTGCAATTTTTTCCCTTCTTAGAGCTGTCTAATTAATGAAGTTGTTCTTCTCCTATTAAAAACGACATTTGAAAGACACGCGTCGAGTCTTCTTGAGGTAGAAGATTGTTTCGACGTTCTTTCGATAGCTGTATAAATATTAAACTATTAGCAAACGATTGGACGACTTCGCATAAAACGTTCAGATAGTCCCATGAAAAAAAACTATGCATATTTAGATATGATAACGTAACCCTTGCAAATTAGCAGCCCCCTCGTATTTTGATATCGAACTCCCGTGTGGCAAATATGACGACATTTCACAAATTTTGATTGAACTGTATCTAACAATCTTATTTCGTTGACGAATCCGAGTATACAGGTAGACATAAAAGTAGCTCCTGGATCACATGCTAATGAAGAATCAGGTCAAATTCTCTCTTTTATTTATTTAATTGTTTATAATACAATATTCGAGTCTAAGCCGGTTGAGTTAGTTCTCTCTTTGGTTTCTCGACCGTTGTTTTACAGCTTCTCATGAATCTTGCTTGCTAGAATATTCCCAACTTAATCAGAGCATCTTTTCTTTTTTCTTGTGCAGTTAATAAGCAGTTAAACGATAAAGAAAGAGTGGCTGCAGCATTGGAGAATCCGAACCTTCGCCAACTCGTGGATGAGTGCCTCTACTCGAATGAACTCTAAGCATCCCGTACCCTCTGCTCAACAACTTGTACAGTAACTGTTTTCTTGTTATGTCTATGCTAAAATGGAATTAACTGTCTGTATGTTGTACTCGATATGTTTGTGAAATTATTAGTCGTTTCTCAAGTAAACCCTAACCAGCAATTTTACGCCTTTAAAGAACATTGCTCTCTCTGTAATATACAGTCGAAAGACATCTACATTGTGAAAAACCCTCTTGTATATATATGCAAAGGAAAAGACCAATTTGTGGAACCAAATGATATAATTTCATTGTACTAAAATAAATTCAAATAATTATTTAATCGTTATCGGATAATCTGACATAATCCCAGCAAGAAGAATCGGGACAGTCGTTTATATTACACAACAAATACATGTGACAATATTAAGGTACTACAGATTCGTCGATTTTTCACACACATCAGTTGCCGTTCATATTATTCTGGTAACAATCCTTTTGACCTAATCCCCAAAACTTTGCGGTTTTGACATCATCCTGCGCCATCAATCTCGAAAACTCTTCATGGTCGTATTCCAGTGTACCTTCCCCACCAAACTCACTCGGAAGATTCTCAGTATCGAAGAACGTCTTCATTATCTCCAAGCTCTCTTTGTTATTCGGGTATACAAATTTTACTTTCTCAAACGTCTTTTGATCCACAAAATATTTCACAACCTGCAGATTTATTTAGAGATAATAAAATCAAGTAAAAACCGAAAAACCGGATAGTAAAGAGATTAGTTAAAGAATCGATTACGTATACTATACCTTCCAAAAGGCGTGAAATATTCTCGGAGGGCTGTAGAGAACGACTATAGCAAGCCTCTCCGGATAGTGGTTCTGCAAAATGTAGATAATATCTCGAGCTGTTTTCATCGGAACGTTTGTGTTCAAAGACCAGCCGTTGAAGTCAATGAGCCACGACATTTGTTCTTGCCCTTCCGGCAGGTTCAGTATTGCATTCTCCATTAGATACACTAAATGACGAATATTGCCCTCGGGAGATGCAGTGTTCTGTTTTCCGTAAGATTTTAAGTAAAATTGTAAATGATGTTAAGACATACAATAGAAAGATGAACTAGCCCAAGATTGTTTATAAATTATAATTTACCTGCTTTCCAGGCCTCATTATAAGGACGGTTCTACCCTTTCGATCGAGAAAATTGGCCTTCGAAACTTTCCCAGTTTCACCTTCGTGTGCTACTTCATGCTGATACATACCACCATTCAAGTTATAACCATTTTCCACACACACACACACACACGCGCGCGCGCGCAAAAGAAACTCACCCAGCGTATTTCTTCGGGTTTGTATGACGACCTCCACTTAATAGTCTCTTCCAACATCTTTTGGGCTTTGGCAAGATTCCAATTTCGAGCTTCTAGATACCTCCTCAGACACGCATCACTGCAAAATTTTAAGGTTCGACCTGAAACTGGTCCAATAGCATCCCTAAGTTGTACGACCTGTAACAACAAGTATTAGATTCTTTCTGCATGAACGAATACACATTATATCTCTAAACTTGTTAAAATTCCAAAAAAACGAGTTTCGTCTCGTCTCTTTAATATCCAATTTGCATTTTAACAATTTTAGCATCACTTATACACTACACGTCTACACGTATAACCTTCTCGTGTTACTCGCGATCAAATCACCGAACCAGAACGAAACTTTCTCTATTTACATGAATACACAAAATCGAAACAACGAACCGTAATTTTTTTTTTAACTAGATCTAGAAAAGGGCAATAAGCTATGATGCATATATGCCTTTTAAAAGTGAATGTTTCTTGATATGATTATCCTTCTAGTTGTTACCTTTGCATCTCGTTCCGCAGCATTAGTCTCCTCGTTGTTAATCGACTTTCTCCTAAACATGGTAGCTGACAAAATTGACAACAAAAATCATTAAAATCAGGTATAAGCACAAGCAGTTTCTTCAGATCAATAAGCACTTGATTTATATAAAAAAAAATGGAAAGTAAAATACAACAATCATCGGGACGGTGTTAACTGTTAAAGATGTATGATCTGACTAATCTGAAATTAAGAAACAGAGAGACAAAAGGGAAAAGCGGATCTTCTCAAACCTATAATAGAAAAGGAAAGGCGAAAAGCACTTTTCAGATGGAAAAGCTGTAATCTTAATCTCCTCTTTTAAGCTGAAAAAAACAAGAGAGAGAAAGGGATTTGGTGAAAATGGCGAATCTGTTAGTTTACGTCTGAAAGCGAAGGAGGACCAGCATTCAATTACTCAACTGAACGCTCCGGGGCACACAAGCATGACTTTTTTAGAACCTATTTTTCACGGCATTTATGAGGGTTTAGTATTAGGTTAGAGAGAGAGAGAGAGAGAGAGAAAATGGTGACGTTGTACTGAAAGGGGCAGAAGGAGAGAGGAAATGTTGGATCATTTGTACTGTTGGTAGGTGGCGCCGTCGTGGTCGCGGCGGCAGACCGGCGGTGGCTGGACGCTGACGCCTTTTGGTCAGAGATGGACTGCGTAGAGAATCCCGTTTGGCTCCTATTTTAAATAAAAAATTGGGGCCCATTGCGGCGCGGCCGACCACTGAGGTATGTCAAAATTACGAAAAAAAACGTCTTGTTTTGGTAATTACAGTCTTCCCTCATTTTAAATATTTTTACATAAAATTTATGTAAGTATATTTAGTTCGGTAAACGGTATGAAATGTTAGCGTACCGAAATTTCGGTTTGATTTTACCGATTTAACATCCCTAAAGTTACCTGAGGAGGTTTTTCGTAAGATAATACATAGTTGAGGGGTGACTGTAATTATCTAGAAAATAGGGGGTTTTGATAATTTGACCTATTGTAATTTGACCATAACTCAGGGTGGCCGTAATTTGCCATAAATATTATTGATTTTGATTTTTTTTTTTACTAATCCTACTATTATATTTTTATATTTTGTAGTAGAATATTATTAAATAAAATACTCCATAGTCTATACGCGACCTGTGAGATTATACACCTGGTAAAATACACCATATGATTTTAAATTTTAGATCTACATAAATAATTATTCAGTAAGTACGTATATACATGAGTGTGTGTTATTATGTTTAGATTAATAATGTTAAATCGTAAATCTACATAAATAATTATTCACTAATTAAGTACACATACACAAGAGTGTATGTTATTTTATGTTTAGATCAATAATGTAAAAATACGTAACGTATTTCATCCAAACGTATGTTCTACAAAATCGTTCATACTCGGCATGAACTTTTGTTGGGTCATTCGAATTGACAAAATAGATATTGAAATTTACACGACCAACGAAGTCAAGAAAAAAAAAATCAGGAACCAGTTCGAGGAATTCAACAAAGCAATCTTTTGATAAAACAATTCATACTTTTAGATAATAATTTGGAAGAGAAATTTTCCAATACTATATAATCAGATACATAAATGATGAAGCTAAAATATAGCTCACCTAGGGTAGTACAGAAAACAAGTTGGGAGAGCAAAGCTGATCAGTAGCTGGTCAACTCGATGTTCCTGAGGTCCCTGCGAAAAGAGCACACGTGAACTAAGCCGGGGGTTGGTCCGGCGGAAACCCCTCCGACGCTCAAGTCAGATGTACGGATCGTAGAGATAGCTGAGAGAATAATATTCGAGGTTGATTGTCGATAAAAATGAGAACTTACCTTTACGAATGAGTAAACCATCTATTTATGTATTATTGAATGGGTTGGGCTTACTTTGTTGGGCCCAAGCCTTATTTTGAAGGAGCTTGGGCTTTCGTGTAATGGGCCACATGTGTGTGACTTGGCTTTCTTGTAATGGGCCCAATTGGTAGATAAATTTGAGGGCCCGTTGGGCCGGCCCATTTAGGTATATCATTAAGCCCCCCAACTCTCGATTCGAGACGGGGACGTGTGTAGATGGATCTGGGTCGTGTCGAGAGTTAATTGCGGCGTTGCTTGAATTGTTTTCGTTGCCGGTGAATTAATTCCTTGATTTAAGTAAGGAATAATTGTATTTATTTGGCAGCGAGGTATATATTTAAGGGTTTTAAATATTATACCAGGGCCAGATAAATAGACTCCTTTTGCGGTGGAAAGTATTAAACTCCAACTCTCGCAATAACTATGGGTATGTGTTTTTTTTTTTTTTAACTCTAGGTCTTCCTCTGCGCTATTTTTCTCTTGAAAAATATTTTTTTGTGGTGGAGTAGAAATTTCCTTTGTTTTTTTTTTTGATTGTTTTGTCGGAGAAAATTATTTTTCTCATGTCGAACTCGGGTAATTCAAAATCTTTGCGTATTAAACTTCGAGATCCGGTTGAAGGGTGCAAGAAAACTTTTGGTACGGTGGGCTTGGAACGCGGGAATCTTGTGGTATCGAGTGCGAAAAACGGATCTACATCCGGAGGTGCGCGAAATTCTGTGCAGATGGGAGTAGGGTCGGTGGCTGCGGAGGGGACCAGCGCACGTGGTCCAATGGGGGGAAGCCACGTGCGCACGGCTGGTAATGAGGCAGAGCGACGCGCGCGCGCGTCGGGAGCTGGAGTTGAGAGAGGCGCGCGCGTGGCCATTAATGTGCAGCAGGCGGGCGCGCATCCCCAGCGACGCGCGCGCGCGTCAGAAAGGCGGAACGAGGGGGACGCGCGGAGTATGGCGAGTGAGGAGGCGCCACGTGGGCGGGAACAGGGTGACGACGCGCGCGCGCGTGAATCAGCCTCTAAGCGACGCGCGCGCGCGTCGGAAGGTGGGATTGAAGCTGACGCGCGGGGTCCGGCTATAGAGGAGGCGCCACGTGGCGCTGTGCAGTCAGTTGGTGCGCGCGCGCGTGGATCCGCCCCTTTTGGGGCCACGCGCGCGCGTGAGGGCGCGTTAGATGCCGGTTTTGAGCCCGGTTCGGGCGAAATTGACGAGCAAATTTCCGAGGGTGCTGATTCGCGTGTTGTTTTCACCGGGGGAAGTTTTGGTCGGCGAGAAATTATTGAATCGTGGAGTGACGATGTAGAAGTGCGTAACAATATTAATATTTGCCCTACTGTTGATGAAGCGAATTCCAGTGGACGTCGGTATGGGCGTCAAGTCGTGGATTTTGGGAGCGATAGTGATGATTCGAATCAAGCACCGTTGGCGAGTAATCATACGGCGCCAAGTAGTGAAGTTGAGTTGACGGATGAAGAGGAGGAGGAAGATGATATTCCGCCGGGTGATGTTGAGGTTGACACGAGGAGGCAAAAGAAAATTAAGCCAATTAATTTGGACTTAATTAATTTTGACAGTGTATTGACTGAAGAGCATTTGCATTCTATTCGTCGTTTATCTGGAGCGCCGAGTAATGTCGAGTTGTTGTTGCCTCGGAAGGGCGATCGCTTGTATTCGCCCCCCGATGGGTTTCATACGGTATTTTTGGGGTACTTGACGTGCACATCTCAGATTACACCGCATCCTACCTTGTTGAAGGTTTGCGAGGAATTCAAGATTAGGTACAGTCAGCTAACGCCCACTGCTGTTCTGATGTTCCAGGCATTTCATTTTAGGGTGGTTCGAGTAGGTCTGCCTGTGTCTGTGAGTTTATTCAAGGCGTTATTTACGTTACATCGGCCCACTAAGATGCCTTTCTTTTGCTTTCATCCTCGCGTTCATTACCAATTCGTGAAGAGTGTGAAGCTATCTTTGGGGAAATGGAAGACCTATTTTTTTTACGTGAGGGCTCCCACTTTTGACGTTCCCGTAGTTTGGAATCCTTCGTGTGAGAGTTTCGCGATAACTGCAAATATGGCGAAGAGGATTGAGGAATCTGGGTTGTGCGATGTGGAATTTGATCCGAGGAGTTTGATACCGACGGTGGAGGGTCAGCGTCGTATATCCTTTTGTTGTCTTGAATTGTTTTTTTGTTTTTGTTTTTTTTTTTTTTTTTTTTTTTTTTTTTTTTTTTTTTTTTTATTTTTTGTAGTTCTTTGGTCATGTATACCTCATGTTTCTTATGTGTTTGTTATCTTTTGTAGATGGTGGTATCACCTTTGCGGCACTTCGAGCGAAGGCGAATGGGACGTCGAAGAAGGCATCGAAGAAGGTTCCCTCTAAGTTGGGAGGTTCTTCGAATGGTTTGCCTCGCGAGGAGGTTCATGTAGAAAGTCCTCGAGTAGTAGCAGATGATCGTAGCAGTGCTGGCGTAGTGGAAGATCGTCCACCGAAGAGGGATCGTGGCAAGGGAAAGAGGGTGGATACTGAGTATGTGGCTGTGCCTAAGCGTCCACGGGTAGATCCAGAGGAGACTTATGCTTTCCATGGTGGAGGAGGGAAACAATTGTTTACCTATGGTGTGAATCGCGACGGTAAGGAGTCGTATTGGGATGTGTCGGACCATGATTTGCCCTTGTTGAGTACCGAGGGATTTGTTCGGGAGTATGATCGTGCTCGGATGTCTGGTAAAGGTCCTTCTCACATGTTGGAGTTAGCCGGTGGGGACATCTGTCGGGTGAGTCTTTTTTTTCTTAAAACAAGATTAGACGTTACTCCCTCTCTTCCTTGTAAAAAATTTTTTTTTTTTTTTTTTTTTTTTTTTTTTTAGTTGGTAGCGACTTGGAGATACCTCGTGGAGCACGGTAGGAATGCGGAAGCTAGTAAGGAAGAGGATCGGGTTCGAAGTCAAGCACGTGAGGATGAGCTTCTAAGTCAGTTGGAGGAAGCGCGGTCCGATCTCGCTCTACGCTCTGAAGAGCTTGCTCGGAGGACAGAGGAGCTTGCTGAGAGGACGGAGGAGCTCGAGGTTATCCGGGGTGATGCGCAGGCTTATAAAGATGATGTTCATAAGTTGAACGAATGTTACGATCAGCTCAAAGAGAAATATGAAGCTGAGAAGGCGACGGGGAAGAGGTTCCTCGCGACATCAGGTGGTGCGGCTTATAAGGAGTCCATTGTGGAGGAGACTAAAGCTAGTTTCCGAGGTAGTGATGAGTGTGCTGCTATGATTGAGGAGCACGCATTGGCTGTGGTTTATAAGCCATTAGTGCGTGCTTGTCGCAAATATCTGCGCGATGCGGGTGGTATCAGCGAGGAAGTGATTCGTGGAATGGAAGCTGGCATATCCGATGAAGAGGAGGATGAAGTAGATGTTAATGGGACGGGCACAGAGGTCGTGAACGACATGGTTGCGGATGACTCCACCGTGGGTACGTCGTCCGCTCGCGGTAGGGGAGCTTAGACTTAGTTGCTAGGATAGTTATCCTTCTTCCCCCTTTATTTTTATCACTATTATGTTTTTTTTTTTTTTTATGGATTTCTTAGTTTGTTTTTATCGCTGATGTAGATGGGTATGTCCACTACTCTTTCATTTGATTTTCTGCCTTGTTTGACTTTGAAATTTAATATTCCGATTTATTTATTTTGACATTGTCAAGAATTATTGCGTTGCTTATATGTATTTACACTTAGCATTGTACGCGATGTACTTGAGGAGGGGATCAGTCTCCCAAGGTTTTTGTTAAGGGTCGTGCCCTTTGTTCGGACCGCTTGGGTCTTAATTATATTTTTCCGTGGCCACGT